ATTTTCGAAAAACAACCAGTCTCCTCCATTAGAGAACCTTGAAAGGAAGCAACCAGTCTCAATTTCACATTCTTCTCCTTCAATGGCTTCCATATCCACCGTCTTCTCTAACTCATCCCCATTCTTATCTCAACCCCTAACCAAATCCCGCAAATCCGATTCCTTCGCCGTAACCACCGTTTCATTCCAGACAACATCGAGAGTTCGCGGCGGAAGAAACACCCTCCGAGTAAAAGCTGGGCTAATCGATCCCGACGGTGGTAAGCTAGTGGAGCTCGTGGTGTCAGAGCCGCGACGAAGAGAGAAGAAACACGAAGCTGCGGATTTGCCGAGACTGAGATTGACGACGATCGATTTACAATGGATGCACGTTTTGAGTGAAGGTTGGGCAAGTCCGCTTCGTGGGTTTATGAGGGAATCTGAGTTCCTCCAAACGCTTCACTTCAATTCACTTCGTCTTGATGATGGATCCGTCGTTAACATGTCTGTACCAATCGTTCTCGCTATCGATGATGAACAAAAAGCCCTAATCGGCGAATCGAAACGAGTCGCACTTTTTGATTCAGATGATAATCCCATCGCTATTCTCAGCGAGTAAGTCACTCTTAAATCTCATTAGGTTGCTAAAACTGTTAGTTCCAGATCTTTGATCCATAATCTCCTCAGCCGTTACGTGACCTTTTATGGTAGTTGCATAGGATTGAGGAATCAAGTGTAGGTTTTGTTAGTTGAGTCTTTGAATATGACAAGTTTCTTGATTTTGTTGTTGTTCCTTAGTGTTGAGATTTTCAAGCATCCGAAAGAGGAACGGATAGCTAGAACATGGGGTACGACTGCACGGGGATTGCCTTATGTAGAAGAGGTGATAACAAATGCTGGAAACTGGCTTATTGGTGGTGATCTTGAGGTTCTTGAACCTATTAAGTACAATGACGGGCTTGATCGTTTTAGGCTTTCGCCATCTGAGCTTCGTAAAGAGCTAGAGAAACGTGGTGCGGATGCTGTGTTTGCGTTTCAGCTTAGGAACCCGGTTCATAATGGACACGCTCTTCTTATGACTGATACTCGAAGGAGACTTCTTGAGATGGGTTATAAAAACCCAATCCTTTTGCTTCATCCGCTTGGTGGGTTCACAAAGGCGGATGATGTTCCTTTAAGCTGGCGAATGAAACAGCACGAGAAGGTAAATGCAAGTATGTGTGTGTAGTTGATCTAGTTCTTTATACGAGATGCTAAAACTGGTTTCATGATCTCTATTAGGTGCTGGAAGACGGTGTTCTTGATCCCAAGACAACAGTGGTTTCCATATTCCCATCTCCAATGCTCTATGCTGGTCCAACCGAAGTACAGTGGCACGCAAAGGCTAGGATCAATGCCGGTGCTAACTTCTACATTGTGGGTAGGGATCCGGCTGGAATGGGTCATCCCGTGGAGAAACGTGATCTATACGATGCTGATCACGGGAAGAAAGTACTAAGCATGGCTCCTGGACTCGAACGACTCAACATTCTTCCTTTCAGGGTAATAATATATAAGAACCCCACAAACTCAAACCTCGGTATATCCTTCAAAGATTTAGACTTTTGAGTTCTGATCTCTGGTTTGAATCGGTTTTAGGTTGCTGCGTACGATAAGACACAAGGCAAGATGGCTTTCTTTGATCCGTCGAGGGCTCAGGATTTCTTGTTCATCTCTGGCACTAAGGTACTACAACTTCTCAGACCGATTGGTACATTATATAATCTAAGTATGGATCTTAAATTTGATGTTGTTTTTGGTTTGGTTTAATAGATGCGAGGACTGGCAAAGAACAAAGAAAGTCCACCAGATGGGTTTATGTGCCCTGGAGGTTGGAAAGTGCTTGTTGATTACTACGACAGTTTGACTCTAACCGGAAATAACCGACTTCAGGAAAAGGTTCCGGTTTAAGACAGATAATAAACCCATTGTTTCTTTGTATTTTGTTTTACTATTGTGTTGTAAATTAGTAACATTTTTTTTTTTGAACCTTTAAATTAGTACCATGATAGTAGTTTCTTTAAGATTCAAGATAATGATCAAACTGTCTTTTTGTAACATTTGGAAAGGCTTACATAATCAACAGTGATGGAAATTTTGATATATGTTGAAAGAAATAAAGTGTTAAAGTTTGGGGACTCAGCTTAATCTTGGTTCATAAGTCATAACCATATGTCAAACCTTCAAACAAAAATGTTGACGCAACATTTGATCGACTTGATCAAAAATTTAATGTTTCGTTATTTTAAGAAAGACTTGAATTACTTCATAAACATTGCTTCAATATGTCATGCTAAACATTAATGTATTAATCATTGTCAATATGCAACTTCTTATCAATGATGCCACGCACGAGACTCTTCTAAATATAATCGCCGTCAACTTAATATTCAAAATAGTGATTCATAGATTGTAAGAAACTTTAGTATCACACACAATTGAGCTGAAAAAGACCATTAATTAATGAGCAAGGGTTTGGCTATATATAGCCTTACAACTGGAACTG